CCCCAAAACCCCAAAACCCCAAAACCCCGTCATAAAAGCATTTTCAAAATTCTTAGAAAGAATAGATACTAAATAAGAATTGGATTAAGTTTTATTATAAGAGCGTGAAAGCGAATATAAATAATTTAAATAATTTGAATGCAGTCGTAATAGTAGCTGACATCTCCGCAGCGATCTGCTGGAGATACTAGAAACAAACGATCTGGAGCTAACCCCAACTCGCCTGATGGATAAGACCCTGCTTTTGATAATTCAAACGAGGCAGTTGAGAAGAGACTTTAAGAAACGATTAAGAGAGCTGAGTCTGACTTTGAAAGGTTCACGAGGAATGATCAGTAGATCAAAAGAAAGGATACAGTTGAGGTAGTCATGGATGTCCTCAATAGAATCAAGGCAGCAGCCGACGAGATCAATAAGATGTCACAGGAGCAGAGAGAGAAGTTGTATTACTTAACTTACAACTCAACCATCATTATCTTCAAGATATGTCACTAACTCAGAGAAGCCAATTATTCAAAAGAAGCAACTCATTTCTTGGCTTACAATGTACTTTGCTTGGACAACAACTTGATCTTAACAACAGCCAAGTACCTAGATTGGCGTGTGATGAACTACGTAGAACTAGCTAGATGCTATGCCGACTAAATGGCTTACAAGGCAGCCACAAGAGTTATCAGTTACGGTATTCAAAAGGTACTCTACTTGAAGCAAATTGAAGAGCAAGATCCTCCAGTCCCAGATGGCACCAAAGAGGTGCTTGTAGAAGCACTAAGAATTCTTAGAACCCAAGAACTGAAGTATCAATTACAGACAGGTGTGCTAACTCCTGATGCCTGGAAGAAAAAGATAGAGGAGACATTCAACTAGAACAAGTATCACAGAAGTTTGGCTATTGTTGAGTGTTTGACCACTAATGACCCTGGTTGTTGCAGACTCGTTCAGAGAAGTGCTAAGAACATTGCTATCAAGACTCAAGCTCTCAAGTTATCAATGGAAATGGTAAAAGCTGATGTTCTGTTATTAAAGCAAGCTTTGATTCAGATTCATGAGAAGAAGAAGCGTGATCGTGAAAAGAAAGACCAGCTTCTGAACAAAGAGGCCGACATGAACGTGGATGAATTGCTTGAAAAGTACAAAGCTCTTGATTCAGAGATGATCAAAGAAAAGGACTGGAAATTCGCCAGCTATAATGTCCCCATTGAGGTGCATGTTGAACTCCTTAAGATGAGCTATGAGTGCAAACTGTGGGCTGAGTTCGATCTATTACTTGACCCTGCTCTAGTTAGACTCAAGTTTAGAAGATATGAGACACCCTATCTTGCAACTGTTGATGTCCTTATGAGTGCAAGCAAGATTGCTAATATTCCAAATGGATTCGAAAAAATACCTAAGGATATTAACGCAGCAAACCTAAGAATAGAACTTAAGAGACTAAGAGCCCAAGCTAAAATGGCAGGACCAACTGGTGGAGCTGAGAAGAAAGAAGAAGACAAAAAGAAAGAAGACTCTAAGAAAGCTCCAGCTCAATAACCACCAGCCAAAGCAGGAGCTAAACCAGGTGGTAAACCAGATCCAAAGGCTTAGTAGTAGCAGCAAGAGATTCCTAAGGACGAGGAAGATGAGCAGTAAATCCAAGCAAGTGAAGCTGAGCTAGAGAAGATCAAGCACATTTATGTTAATCTGCTACTTCAGCGTACCAAGAACTCTCAGAATGCTATAGTGGGTATCGATGTTGTTCTGGCTGATGAGAACCGCGGTCCAGATCTCCCTGACAACCACTACGCAGTTGCAGTACCAATCAGATAGCACACAGGAGTCTATGAGAAGACCAAACTCATACCTTATATTGTCTTCAGAAGAACTGCCAACTCTCTTATTGATGAAGAGGATTGTCTTTCCATTATCACTGATGTTACTGTCATTATGGGGCAAGATCCTCATATTAGAGCACCACTGGGATATCACAAGATACCTGTAGACTTGAGACAAACACCTAGAGATCTTGAAAGAGTACCCAACCTAGACTATGTCTATGTCTGCTATAAGACTGATAAATAACTTGCACTTACTGAGAGAGATTTACTTGTCTTCAGAAGAGTAGCTGACCTTGAAAAATCACTAATTGAAAAGAATACCCCTGATTATAAGGCCTTAGACGAAGCCAGAGTCTTCATGAGTGTGAACTATAATATCGAGATGCTAGTTGATCTTAGTAGAACCATCAAAGAGGCATTACTGGGACCTCTAGGCGATCACTTTTTAGAAAACAGGCAGGACATCCTATTTGACATCTGCTGTTTCCTTTGGCAGAAATTCCTTCTTCCAGTTTTGCAGAGAGTTGACACCTACACCGAAATGCGGCATTAGCGAGAATACCCTATTGAGTTTGTAGAATAGATGGATGAATATGTGATCTAGATAAAGAATTACTTTGTCGAAGCCTTCAACGTCATGCAGCGAATTCTAACTCGCATCCCATTCATCGATGACATGATCATGTACTGCAAGTTCTCAATTTACCTCGCCACCCTTTAAGAAGAGATTGGAGAGTTCCGTAATGCAGTACAGACTCTAAGATCAGCTATTGGCAAGATCGTAGAATATCGTGAAGAGAGACTCAAGCAGTGTCTAGACTCCAAGGAAAACATTAGGACTTCAATGAGCATCACAATTGATAACAAAAAGATTGGGGATTTAGAGCAAAGGATCAACATTATACATGAAACTTGGGAGCAGATGATACTCAGGAAGGAAAGAGAAAGAGAGCGCAGGGAAAGAGAAGAACCTGGCTTGGACGAGGATGAGGGCGATGAAGAGCAGTTAGAAGTGCAGGAATGCATTGAGGAGTTGAAGAACAAGGATCTATTTGAAAGAAATATCAACATTGAGGAATGGAGAAAAACTACGAGATCCAAGAATCAAATTCAAAATGTCAGGTATTTCAACAACTAAGAACAGATTATTCACTCTCTTCACTCAGATCTATTGATCAACCTGTACAGATGCGAAATTAAACTTGGTCGTGAAATGGGAGTAGTCAAAAACTAAACCAATAAGCTGCTTATCTCTCAAGGAATCGACTTAAGCAAGAATGCTCCAGGCAATATTACCAAAAATCTAGCGCAGTCTCTTAATACCAAAATGAATTAGACTAAGAATAAGACCATAAGTAAGTCCAAGAATGATCTCTCCAATCTAAAACAGACACTCCAAGAGGCAGGTAAACTTCCACCTCCAAAGCCACAGATTCAATCTTATGAAAAGATTCTTGAGAAGGAAAATAATCAAAATCCCTATTAAAACGCTCTGCTACATATGTGTCTAGCTGTGGCTAAGTCAAATATTGTAGAGTAGAAGTCGTTACTCTTAGAGGCCGTTGAATGCTTGAAGAGAGCCAAGCAGCAGGAAGACAATTTAAGTTAGTTGTCGTTGGAGAATGCAATTTATATTAAAGCAGCTCAGCATTATCATGAATACTATGAGAGAACTGCTGATCAGGTGCATCCCTTCAATCTCATGGCTAAGCAGTAATACATCAAGAAGTCAAACGTGCCAGCCAAACCAATCATGATTTGCAGAACTAGTACAAGCATTGTGATGAAACTTCCTTTCTATAGGCCAGTCACTGAATATAAATCCTGGAGAAACATTAGCCAGATGGCTTTATTCGGTAAACCCAGTGGTTCAGGTGTCGGCGTAAGTCTTAACAATACTGAGTATGATGGTACTGGAGATAAAAGACAGCCAGGTGCTGTAGTCAAAGTAACTGGCCTTATTCCTAATGAAAAATACGTGTTTGCAGCTGGTGGATATACTCATGACGGTATCTGTGTGAATGGAATAGGTGAAACCTCAAATGACATTATAACGCTTTTGCCTTTGTCATTACACTAACTTCAAGGTTACTTAGCTGAAATTGCTTTTAAGCTTGGTCATTATCAAATAGCAAAGCAAGTAGCAGAGAATCTGTGTGCTTAGTTCATTGAGAAAAATGAGTTCAAGTACCAGATGCTTGACACTCGTATTAACCCCATCCTGGCTTTTAAACTCAACCACGAGTACTTATAATTACTATCTCCAATTGAAGCCAAGTAGATTGCAGAAGCCTTTTTAATCCTAGCTAAAGTATCAAAGATAGTAAAATCTGACACTCAAAAGAAGGCTGATCTAAGTGAGCTTAAGGTAGAGAAGCAAAAGATTGATATGAAAATTTGTAACTATTTGCAAATAGCTTTGGACATTGGCACCAGTATAAACTAGCATGTACTTGTCAAGAGAGTTGTCTCAGAAATCTATAACCACCTTAACCCTTACTTCCAACTTAATCCAAGACCTTAATTAATGTTCCAAATCTTGTTTAAGTGTCATTAATCTCTTAGACTAGTACCTTCTGAATTATTAGACTCGAACATGCGCAAGATCATTGGATGTATTTCTTATTAGATCCTAAGATTAGACTTTGAAAACTCAGAGGAGGAGTCATTCAAACGAATCATGATATCTGAGTTGCCCTTAAACACAAGGAAATGGCGCAAGTACACTTAGTACATAATTCGCAGACCTCAACTAACTGAAGAACTTAGAGTGAAAAAGGAGGAGCAGGAGAAACGTATCAGACTCGGAGAGAACATACCTGATGCTGATTTAATCAGAGATCCAGACCCTTATGAAGAGAAAATTGTGAAGTTTGAAGAATTTGAGACTGAAGGTTAATCGTTTGAGGAATTCTTGTTATAGCTCATTGATTATCAAGATGTTGTCAAAGCTAAGACAGAAAGATGGAAGCTTGCAATAAATAGATTCTAGAAAACTGCTACTAATGGTAATGAAGTAGTCGATAAAGCTAAAGAGCAGTTAGTTCAAATAGTTGATTTCTGGGAAGGTGTGAAACTCAACAACCCACAAGTTTAGCTTCAGCAAATTATTCTATCCTATGACTAAGGCAATCAAAATGCAAGATATCTGGAATTCTGCTGCAAATGTGTGAGAAGAGCTATGGAGCTAGGCATGACCTCATTTGCTGAACTTGAGGAGATTGTTGCCAACAAGGTCAAAATCGCTGATGATGTAATTTCAAATATCGAGAACAAATCAGCTGAGAGACTAGAGTACCTTGAAAAAGATATTGTGAGAAAGCAAAGAAAGAGATTCAATATGCTTGAAGAAAAAGTTGCTTAAATTCAGGAGTCAAACAGCATTACATAAGGAGCTAAGGCCTTTAATATGAAGCAACTTGACGAGATTATCCAAGGAGGCAATCTTATGGACGAAGAAGATGACTACTGGGGTATAGTTTAATTTGATAACGAAGAGGAGGAGAAGTTCAATACTTACACATATCTTTGGATCAGTGAGAAGCTGCTGCTTTAGGGAATGAACTCCTTCCTTAACATGGCACTAACCTTCCCTCAGAGATCTTTGACTCAGGCAGGCAACTCTCAAGTGGTCTTTAATGATATCCTACAGATTGACTTCAACAAGTACAAGTAGGCTTTAGATGAGCACAATGACAGAATCAAGATTCAAAGAGAATCCTTTGAAGAGGAACACAAGCATGACACGGAGAAGTTCGTGCTTAAAATTGAGGACAGAGTCAAGAAAGTAGCTGCTATACTTAAGATCATGGCAAGAGCTGCTGAGTATGCCAGAAACGCCCGTGCCTGGCTGCAACTAGAGAGCATCATTAGATACACTTGGAATGTACTGAACTATGATATCACCAGTCCACTTGAATTGAAAGAGACAGATGCTTGGAAATACGTAGTCATACTAGCTGAGACTAGCTTGTATCTGGTTGAATACCTGAGAGGTGGTGGGCAACTCAGAAAATAAGGAGGCCACGAGATTGATCTTATCAAGAGTCAAAAGCCAACTATGCTCAAAGAACCAGGAAAAACAGTTGGATTCAGAATTTAAGCTGAGGAGGAAATGGGCAATGGTGGTCATGAGTTGAATCATAATGAGTCTAAGCAGACTATTGGCACCAGCAAGAGTGGAAATATGGGGGCTAATGGAAAAGGACTCAAGTGGTATGAGAAGATTCAGGAATTCGATATCACTGTCCATTGCAGCTTCATTACCTATGGTGTTCAATGCTTAATGGGAGTTAAGAAATGGGAATCACTCGTTGATCTCAGCAATAGAATCAACACTGCTAGTGAAAACACCTATGCATAACAACTTCTACCTTTTATCATCTATGCCTAGACAACCTTATTCGATGATGCAGCAGCTCGCACTCTAGCCAAGAGAGGTGAGTTGTAAGTGAGAATCTCTCAATTTGAGAATTGGAAAGCCACCAACAAAAAGAAGAGAAGTCGCCAAGCTATGATTACTGGAGAGATACCCCCAGAGGAGCAGGAATTCTTAAGAGACAAGGCCAGAATAGAAAAAGAGATCAACAGACTAGAGATCATTGAAAATGTACTGATGACTGACAAGCAGAAGTCAGATTAGCTTTTGGAATTCATCAAGAGAGACGCTAATAGCTGTGAAGAGTCACTCAAGTAATGTCGTAAGTTGTACTTCCAGTTTGGAGTGGAGACTCAGAACCTCAGAATTGATGAGCTTAAAAAGGGTTAAACCCATTTTGAGATCAAAGCAAAGAAAAAGGGACACAAAGTCTACACCAACATGGTGATTCAGAACTACAAGAAGTGTATAGAACTGCTCAGAAAGAGACAAGAAAAGTTCTTATTGATTTAAGCTTTGCATGAACTGGGAAATTTACTATATGCAGATGGATAACTAGGAGAAGCAGAAATCCAATGGAATGACTGTGTAGATACCATATTCTAGAGACTTTATGTAGTCAACTCATTTAGACAGGTCTTTAAAGAAAACCCCTAACTTGCTGACACACTTGGATCTAAGCAATGTCTTATTGGTGGAATAGTACTAACAAAATTAGCCAAATTATGCTATGAGGGTAGAGATCAGTTCAGATATAATGAATGCCTTCTAATGACTGCTGAGCTTTACGCAGCACCAGCAAAACTTAGCTTCCCACATCCACAGCTGCCAATAGAATATGCTAACTATAGAATGAGAGAGTTTCTCAGTGACTAGCTATTTGCTGATAAATACATTCTTACTCCCAGTGAGATTATGCATACTATTGGAGTAGCAACTCAAGCTCTCATTGATGCTGATCTTCATGATAAAGCCTTACCTCTGGCTTCTCTAATGGAATATATGGCACATGAGATCACTAAGTCTAGAGTACTAACAGTTAAGGCAAGGCTCTTGAAAGCCATTGCTCTGATTGAAATTGGTTTCATTAATGAGGCTTACCAACTCTACAATAAGATCTTATCACAAAAAGACTTGCCTAAGATCGGAGTTAGAGAGTCTGAGTTTATTAACAAGAAAGAGGGCAAGAACTTCTTCTTCCCTTCATCCCAGAGATACTACAACCACCTGACACCAGAAAATGATAAAAATCAAGAAGCAATTTAGAATATCTCTAAGAGCATCCCAGTTGAGATAGTAAACCAACTTAAGAAGTACCTTTCTCCATATGTGATTGACTTATTGCATTTCACAAGAAGTTTATTCCTTGCGAGACTAGGAGAATCAGAAAATGTAGAGATGCCAGAGAAAGCAGACTTCAGAGTTCAGCTACTCAGATCAAGCGAGGAGAATTTGAGAAACATACTTAGGAGTATACAAATGAATGAAGAAATTCAGTTCTGCAAAGATAAACTTGATAATCTTTTGATCAAAGAAATTGACATTCCAGATTAGGAGATCGGAGACCTTAAGAGCAGACTTTAAAAATGCTATGAGGCATCAGCCATTAATGATGATGATTAAAAGAACTTCTTCACTAACAAGGAGGAGGAGATGTGTTATGCTGACAGAAGATCACAATATTTGTCACTGCTCCTCAGAACAAGATTGCTCATTGGAAGAATCCAACAAAAGCAAGGCTTCCTAATACAATCATTCTATGTCTTGAGATAGGCTTTAACTAACTTCAAGGCTCTAGCTGAAGGTAAGCACTCCAAGGTAGAGAATGGAGTAGAGGCTGAGGACAAGGGATCATTCAAGTTGCCTGAGATTTACGGAGGATCTGGACTTGGTATCCCATCTTCAGACCCTAAAGCAGCTGCACAGTAAAAACAAGCTTAAGCTGCACCAGCTAAAGGTGCACCTGCCGATAAAAAAGGACCCCCAGGAAAAGGTGGTGCCTAGTAATAACAATAGGACGAAGAAGAATTAAAGAGACAAGAAGAGGAGAGAAAGAAGAGAGAGGTAGAGGAAGAACTGAAGGAAAAGCGAAGAGTAGAGTCGGCTGAAAGAAGAGACCACCCACACATCTATCTCTGGCTTAAGATCAAGCTGGAAATAGTAAACATTCTCTACAATCAAAAGAGATTTGAAGATTGTGCAGACTGCATTGCTGTGACTAAGCTAGGTAAATTATTGTCGTCATTTATAACTTAAATACAGAATGCCAATCTCTGAACGATCTGTACTTCGTTCGACAACTGATGGAGATTGAGTTCATGATTGAGGTATTCAAGGGCGAGATCGATCAGGCCATCAGAACTGCTGAGAAAATCAGAAAGCACGCTCAGGTCTACAACTAAAATGACACTTCATACGCTTTCTTCTTGGGCAATCTGTCTGAACTGATGTACAACAAAGATAAGAGAACTGAAGCCAATGATGTTGTGAAAGAGGGAAGACTTATTGTGTGGTACAAGCTAAGAGACTATGGACTGGATCTAGACCCATAAAACATCAATTTCAAAGGAGAGGTCAAGGTAAACAAGGCTAGAGTTAAGCCAAATGAAGACGTGCTCGCACAGTTCCAGACTGCAGTGCCTGCTGCCGGTGCCAAGGGAGGAGCTGCGTAACCTAAAGCTGGTGCTCCGGCTGGTAAAGCTGCTGCTGGAGGCAAAGGCTAACCTGTCGTGGCTGAGGATCTACCTGTTGAAGAAGAAAAAGTAGACCCTGCATTAGATTTCAACAACAGAATTGAATACTAACTGATTGGTGCTGATTACAATATTAATTCATCACAATAAGAGCCTAACATCTACATAAAATTCTTGGAATCAGCTGTAAGATTTGACATCCGCTACGCTTAATACCTGACTATGATTGAGAAGAAGCATGACTTGGCTAAAAAGCTACTTACTGACTCAGAAAAGCTTCTTAAACGCACTCTACATATCTCACCGCAGCTCAAATTTTACGTCAACTACTTGCTTGGTCATGCAAATCTCTAGATCTTCTATGATAAGCTAAGAGAGTATCAGCAGAAGTATGATACCAATGGCAAGTATAAGGATAGACTTCAGAAGCACATCCCCTACGGTTCAGTTGCCTTGGGCATCTACATGCTGGACTTGCCTAACTTCAGTGATAAGCTGAAAAAGTTCTACAGAGACTATCTTGAATGGGCTAAGAAATCACTTAAGCAATCCATTGACTTTGCCAAGACTGAGCCCATTGTCTATGAATTTGACTTCTCAGTGATTGACGCATTGAAGGAATTGGCTGAAGTTAACTTTTTGATTAGTGAATACAGAGTCAGAGTGCTGGCCTATAAGTATGCTAAGTACAAGGAACTAGACATTGCCAGAAAGATCAGCAGGAAGCTGGAGCATAGAAGAGAAGTGGACAATGTAGTTGATGACAACTTGCTTGAAGAGGAAATCGAGAAAGAGATTAAGAACGCCAAAGATGAGTGGGAAGAGCAAAAAATTAACAAGGAAAAACTAGAGATCGCTAATCACAGAAGAGCTTGCGCCTATTATTTGGAGTTATCAGTCAATTTAAGCAAGGTACAAAGAGAGTTCTTGGACAAGCAGCACTTAATGAGTCAGGTCAACTTGACTGATCCAAGCAAGATCCCTAGAGAAATCGCTTCTGAGCTCTTTGAGGCCTTCCAAGTCACCAAAGTCAACTATGTCAAAGTACCTGATTTTGAACCAAAGGATAAGACTGTAATAACTTCTTCAGAACTATTAGCATACTTGAAAACTCTTACTAAGGAATTAGAATTTATGACTTTCGGAGAGGAGAAGCAGAGACAGAGCAAGCTTATTAGTAAATTGCACAGATACCTCAAACTCAATCTTGCTTCATATGTGCAAAAATGTAATGTAGAGATTAAAGATCCAGATGAATTCAAGGATGTTTCTTAAATCCCAGGGGCATCAGTTGAAAGTTTTGAATATGTTCCAAAAACCAAACTAGTAAGCAAATGGGCTGATTTCAAGACACAAAAGAGCAGTATGTTCTACATTATTGGACCAATTGAAGAATAACTCTTATGGACTCTATATCCTAGGGAAAAGGATGCAGGTCTTACTGATGCCGAATAACTAGTTAGAGATGAAGAGAGAAGGGATCATCAGATCGTGCACTTCGGTAAACTTGACGTCGATCCATTGGTGCTATCAGCTCTTTACTAAGAAGTAAGGGACTTGATTGACAAAATGAAATCCTCTGAGAAGCTATCTGCTGCTCATAATGAAAGAGACCGAAGGGGTTACAAGATCAAGTTCGAATAGCTACTTGAGAGATTCGGAAACTTCTTCAAGCCTCCAGTCCACACAGATGACGAAAGCAATGCAAATGCTCAAAATATTGATGTCTTGTATCTGATTAGAGACATTATACCAGAGCTTACAGTTGATAACGTTGAGAAACTTGCAACTCTTCTTCAAAAAGACACAGGTTGTTCACTTAATGATCTTAAGTACAGCACTATCCTCAGAAAATTCCACAGAATTAGATATGTCAAGTGAGACTTCATTATTACTCCTGAGCTCAAGTGACTTTGAAACTATCAGCATGTTTCAAGTCAACAACCTAAATTTCAAAACTAACTAAGACTTATAAAAACTTAATTTCCTAAAACGAGATTCACTCAAAAAATTTGACTTTATAATTGACTGATATTTATATAATCTTGATTTCATTACTTAGTCTCAGATTAAATTTCATGGGGTTTTGGGGTTTTGGGGTTTTGGGG